TTTAATTTTCACCTCTGCCCCCCTAATAAGAACAAAAAATATTTTTAATATTATTTTTAACATTTAATAAGAGTATAGAGGTAACAATAAATATAAAAAATAATAAAATATCTTATAAATATGATCAAAATTAACCTTCTTTCTTTCTTCCTTATAAATAGAGCTAGAGAAGTAATATTGTACAACAAATAAACTCCCTCTAGTCTTTAATATAAGACTAAGTCAACAAACTTCATGTTTATTAAAAAATATTAGTTATACCTTTGAAATTGTAAGAAAATATGTAATTTTTCAATTTTACTCCTTTTTATAATTAATGATTATAATAAATTATTATTTAAGAATTCAAATAATAATAAATACACCAAGAATAAAATTAAAAAAAATATTAATTACTTTAACTTTATCTGATATTTAAGACTAAAAAAATTTCAAATTTCATCTTACATTAAAAATTGGAGTAGTACACCTTCAATATAAGTTTAGGTATTTAATTATTAAATACTCCCTTCGATTTTATCTATAAAGTTGAAAGGAGAAGAATTTTTTTTTTGTTTGTATTTATAAGGCAAGTCATTAAACCTTTTAATTATAAGTTTTCATTTTACCTCCATTAAATATTGATAAAAAATATTATTAAACTGTGTGTATATATATAATAACAGTAAAATTAAAAATTTATTAAATTTTTAAATAGAATTAATAAATTTTAAAATATTTTTTTAATTCGAATAAAAATATGTTAGAGCTAACTTAATATAAGTAGAATAGTACGCACACATGCTTGAAGATAATGATTATTTTTTATTTGTCATACACATTCATATCTTGTGCTTGTGTTGCGTAATGCTTAGGGCATTATATTTATTGTCCGGGATGGCAATCAGTGTAATTAATTTCTCATGCTTCATAATGACGAGTAGGTGGTTCTCTTAAAGGCCGGCTTTAGGTGCCCCATATTTAATTCCATGAACAGGATCCGAGGCTATGAACAGTATCTGTAATTTTATTTTATTTTTTTGATTTCTCACATATATTTTATTTTTTTTAGTCAGCATTAAATGTAAACTTTCTTTTATTTCCTTTAATGGTAATTTAAATTTTAATTCACCACATAGTTAGAGGTTAACTCTTTTTGCTACACTCAATTTTAATTAATAACTGGAATTTTATTTTATTTTACTTTAGTTATTTTTTAATTTTTTTTTTTGGAGTTTCTATGCAAAGCTGGTTAGTAAATTGGAAGAAGTCAAGAGACTTTTCAAACTTGAAGAGGCTGGATTTAACTTTAAAACTTCAAACATTGAAACTAATTTATTTTTTTCCCCCAACAAAACAATTAAACTAATTTGACCTACTCCTGTTGTAATTAATCCAAGATGCCCCTCCATCCGAATTTTGTAAGACAAGTATAGATAAAATTACACATATTAATAAAACTTATTAAATATATTTTATAATTTTATTTAAAAAATATAAACTTTTAAAAACACCATTCATTTAACACTTTATTTGTGAAAAAATATTAAAGAGAGAAAATACAATAGAAAAAGTAATATTAAAAAGTATTATTAATAAAACCTTATTTTAGTAAATGTGTTTTATAATTAGGGATATCAAATCTCCCCATAATTTGAGATGGAGGGAGTATCGTATTTTAGTGTATTGATATCCATTTTTATTTCTAAATTGTTCTTGTCGAAGCACCCGATGTCCTAAACTTTTTAATATAATAATGTCACCCTTAAAATAATTCAATTATAGCAATGTTGTCTCTGACGTTAAACGGGAAAACTTTGATGGTTAACTTTTCTAATTTAGACTTAACATTAAGGGCAACATTGTTACAATTTAAATATTTTAAGGAAAATATTATTATGATTTGAATCAAACTTACTTTTGAGTTGGCAAAGTTAACTATCAATGTTTGCTCATTTCACGTCAGGAGCAACATTGCTATAATTTAATTATTTTAAGGGTGAAATTATTATGATGAGAGTTTAAGACACTAAGTGCTTTCACAAAAATAGTTTACAAGCAAAAATGAACCTTAATCTTCTTCTCATTAATGAAAGTAATATAAACCATTAACTCATGATCTACAACTGATATGCCTTTCTAAATTACATCAAGATCACATTTAGTATTTGACCTTATCTTAAATATGATTGTTTTTAATAGGAGGATAATTGCAAGCAATATAAAAAACATATATTTTTTGCATTAAAAAAATCCAAGGTAGTTGTATATACTAAATTAGGGGATTTTGTGAAAAACTAAGCGTTTGCCTAAAAATTGTTTAATTAGTCATCTCCTATGATTTACCTTTTTATATAAGGCAAACTTTAAAAGCATTTTCTGATTCATAATATAAAACAAAGTTAAAGTAATTAATTTTTTCCAATTCTACCCTTATTTATTTATTTATTTATTTATTATCATTTGAATTGAATTCCTAAACTTCAATTTATTATGGTTATTCATTGCAAAAAAAAGGTTAAATTGAAAATTTACATTGTTTTTCTACAACTTACAGGTATAACTATGACTCCCTTCCATTAAAAATATAAGACATTTTTAATCAAATTTTACCTTTCAATAAAATAATTACTTACTTTCAAACTAACCCTTTCTTTTTATATTTATTCTTATTAAAAACTCTACAATAAATATAAAGTTATTCATTAAGACGGGCACTTAAAAAAAAAATAATGATTACACTTTAAAAAATTTAAAATGTCTTACATTTTTAAACATCTAACTCTTTAAAAAATGTCTTATAGTTTTTAATGGAGAGAGTATTTTTTAATAAACATGAAGTTGGTTTAAATTTTTATATCAAGAACACACAGAGGGAGTAAAATTATCAAATTATTCTAGAATGAAACTTTTTTTTTTAAATAAAGGATTGGAGGCCCACCTTTTACTATTTTAATCGGACAACAAGTACATTTTTTAATTTTTTGTATTTTTTTTTCATGTACGTGGATACAGAAGCCTCCACAAAGGATTACATCATGAACAAAATGCCAATGTTCTGTCTTTTTTGTGGTATAATATTCTTGTTATCGCCACTAGGAGGAAAACAAATATTTCATGAAGAATACTTTTTTTTAAAAAAAATTATGAGTGTACGAATTTTTTAAGAGAAAAGACAGGCAGAAATTTCATTTAGAGGTTATCCTCTTATATAATTTTCTAATATTTTTTTTGTTACTCATAAGTACCCTATTATCAGAGATAATCTTACTTAAGATATTATTGAATATTAAATGTGAATAATTTTTTTTAATAAAAATTTAAATATTAAATATTCTGATTTGTATAATTTTTTAAATTAGGGCCATAGATAAAGTCAAACCATGTGGGAGCCTCACGCCAGCGATGTTCTGCGTGAGTAGCAGTGCCCAAGTTAGGTCGGAAGGAAGGTATGTTCTTCAAATTAAACATTAAATTAATGATCCCCCACACGCACTTACTAGAAAGTTTGAATGATTTTTTTAATATAGTGTGTGTATATTATATCAATGATTAAATTGTTGGTCAAGATAATTGACTGGTCCAATACAGTTATACCTGCATTGTTTGCAAACTAATATTTAAATATTGTCCAATTTGCATGAACCTGCCTCTTGGGTTATGAGTTCTTTGTAGATCTTCTTTTTCTCACTGTGCCTCCGCAATTTGCTCCTATGCTCTCATCCCAACGAGAAAGTTCAAAGGATCTCCAAAGTTCCTACGTTTTCTCCTTCCTTTTTCTAGAAGATAATTTTACTTGCTTTCTACTCATTAAAATAAAGGTAAACTGATAATTTTATCCTTGAACTAAGCATATGAGATCCTTTTTTTTCTTAACATAATATTTGATCTTTATAATTTCATCCGATTTTGTTTTTAGTCATTTTAGTTTTTTTTAATATTTTTATTTCTTATAATTTTAAAAAGATTAGTGAGCTTTGTTTTTTAGGCCCTTATAGTTTCTATTTTTTAATAGTTTTAGTCTCTATATTATAAGGATTGAAAACACTGAAAAAAAAACTATAAAGATTAAAAGCAAAGCCCAATAAAAACTATAGGAATCCAAAATTATGTTTTTTTTTCTTTTTCTTTAATGCAATATGCCATTTCCTTATAATTAAGGAGAAGGGCCAGTATGACAATTTTAAATGTTGAAGGATAAAATTGTAAAATAAAAAAAACTTTTTAATTTCATATGTTTCTAGACCTATAATTTAATGATAAAATTACTCTTTTATCCTTGAAATGATCAATGATATACACCATTTAAACTACAATATAAAAGACTTTTAGAAACAATGTTTGGTCCAAAATATAGAACATTAAGTAGTTTTCATAATTATTTTTTACATTATATCTCTACTTTATTTATTTTTTTAAAAAATGATGCATTTAAATTATTAATGAACTTTATACAAAATATTTAATGACAGTATAATTGAAAATTTATAAATTTTTTATAAAAGATTAAGGTTTTAACTATTTTTTTATAACATGGAGTAATTACTAATGCCATATGCTATAGTCTACATGTGTGTGTTAATACTTTTTCAGTCCTATTTATAAATTATTTTACTAATCTCATCAATATTAATATAATAAAAATATAAAAAATTAAAAGTAAGTGAAATCTCAAACATTGTTTATCTCTCTCTTACTTTTTAAAAGTAATTTAAAAATTTTAATTTAAAATAAAATAATTTCATCATGACTTATAAAGCGGGCAGATTGTACTTGATAGTCAATCATTCTATGCTCCGTTCACATTTGGATGATGCAGACGTTCTGTAATGCATGTTAGTCTAACAGTGGAGCTGTAGAACTGCGAGTCATGGAACGGAGAGCATTGTAACAGCTTCCACTTGAAATTTGATTTTTGACATTAAAAAAAACGAACTGTATCAGAGAGTCAAACGTGGTAGGTCCAAGGGACACAAATCACTATTGAGTCTTTTAAGTTTAGGATTAAATATGTTTCCAGCTAGTGGCAGCCATCCCCTCCGACTCCGATTGTCTTATGATTTGTTTGGGAGTGGTGAAAGATGAAGTAAGAAGCTCTACATAAGGAAATGGGACTTATGATAAATGCCAAACAATGCGTTCGTGTTACTTCCATGCGGTAAATCTAAATCCTTTTCCCCCCTAAAACCTGTTCAGATATGTGTAGTATGAATATGAACCTCTCTGTCTGCCACCAACCCATAATGTTAAATTAAATTCATGTTGCTCCATCTCTCATGATGGTTCTGTCCTATTTCTCATTCAGGAACCAAAGAAAATTCAAAGAACAACGACAACGAAAGTCATACTGTGTGGTGACCAACAAGTTCAGAGGTAGAATCTGGGATACATACTCTGATATGGCTGTCATTGTTTTATCTTCTGCTTGAAGAGGCTGAAGTAAATTCTTTTTGCACCAGAATCAGAAATGGATTCTGTTCAATTCCTTCTTCCTCTGTTTCTTCTCTCGCTTGCATTTCCTTGCCTGCAATTTGTTCGAGGAAATGAGGAACTCAGAGCTTTGATGGAGTTGAAGTCGTCTCTGGATCCAGAGGGCAAGGTCCTTGGTTCTTGGACCAGTGGTGGTGATCCATGTAGTGGTTCGTTTCAAGGGATCTTATGCAATGAACACAGGAAAGTGGCCAACATTTCATTGCAGGGAAAGGAGCTCTCGGGATGGCTATCTCCAGCAGTGGCTGAACTCAAATGTTTGTCTGGTTTATTCCTGCACTACAACAATCTCTCAAGGGAGATCCCCAGAGAGATTTCAAATCTCACTGATTTGGGTGAACTCTATCTCGACTTCAATAATCTAACTGGAAACATCCCTCCTGAGCTCGGCAACATGCCTAATCTCCAAGGTTAGTATATTGTACATGTATAGTCCTGTTGACACAGATCATGCATATTGTATATAGATTATATGTATCTTTATCACTGAAATGAAGGGTGGATGATGAAGGAAAAAACCTTATTATTCAATCCTGATCTCCACAGAGCTTCGTTAAATTGGAGACCTTAAGAAAGAGAATTTTGATGTTTGCAACTAATAACTGCGATAACTTGTTCTGTATGCCTATTGAACTTGTGGATTTGTGGTGAAACTGTTTTGTTTTCACATGTCAAGCCACGAGTTCGAATCCAGGCAATTTCACACAACAACTCGACTTTGTTCTGTACATCAATTTCCAGTGACTATAGGTACCTGATATGGATTTATTCCAGGTTTCAATTTATGTATGGTTTATTTGATCCCATTTGATCCCTTATAGTCCAGGGAATTGTGCATTGAAGAGAAAAAGTGGTTGATGTACTTGAGAGTTTTAATCAGTGTTACTGTGTGCTCCTGAATTACACATAATGATATTGGGAAGTCTTAGATGTCTACGTTCCGTGAACCTTACATCAAGTCTAGTATTGTTAGTTTGAAGTGGAGGGCCATCAATTGGACAATCAGTTTAAAAATTGTGCGCTTTGGTTTGTGCTCTGTATGCTAATCCTAGTTCAATCGGTCTGGATGATCTTTAGTGCTGCAGTTAGGATATAACCAGCTCGTGGGAGCTATACCGAATGAGATGGGCTCATTGAAGCAGCTTACAGTCCTAGATTTGCAATGCAACAAATTAACTGGTAAAATTCCTCTTAGCTTGGGGAATTTGGAGAAGCTAAGGTTGCTAAATTTGAGCTTTAACAACCTGAATGGTTCAATCCCTGCAACACTTGCTGATCTTGCAAATTTACGAGATCTTGATATCCGAAACAATTCTCTATCAGGAAGAGTTCCTTCTGGTATGCCTCAATCCCTCTGCACTTGTAACTTCACCTGATTAAATGCCTTCTGTTTATTTCTATGCATACTGATTGATGTTTTTCAACTTAAATGAAGCTTTGAAGACATTGGGGGATGGATTCCAAGGCGCAAATAACTTGGATTTATGTGGACTTGGGTTTTCTACTTTGAAAGCTTGCAGCAATGATCCAACTTTAGACCCTAGCCAGATTGACATCTCAAATCCAGCAACAGAAGGTCTTCATCCAAAGGACTTTCCCGAACCTGCAAATTTTCACTTGCATTGTAGCCAGACCCATTGCTCAAAATCAAGAATGTTTCCTCAAGCACTCATTGCAGCAAGTGTTTTAACTATCATAATCACGTTCATATGCGTTGGACTTTTCACTTTTCTCAGATACCGCCGCCAAAAGCAAAGAATTAGAAATTCATCAGAATCTTCTGAAGGGAAACTTAGTCCTGATCCGCCTAAAGAATTGTACAAAAGAAGTCTATCACCACTCGTTAATCTTAACTACTATAATGGATGGGATCCGATGACTGATGACCAAAATGGGACCAGATTATCCCATGAGTATCTAAACAGATATAGGTTTAATGTGGATGAGATTGAATCTGCTACACAGTACTTCTCTGAGGCTAACTTATTAAGCAAGAGCAAATTATCAGCAGTCTATAAAGGAATACTCAGGGATGGTTCCCTTGTGGCTATAAGAAGCATTAATGTGACATGCTGCAAGACTGAGGAAGCTGAGTTTGTAAATGGGTTGAACTTAGTACTTTCATTGAGACATGAAAACTTGGTTAGGCTCAGAGGTTTCTGTTGCTCGGCAAGCAGAGGTGAATGTTTCCTTGTCTATGACTTTGCCCCTAAGGGTGACCTGTCTCAATACCTTGACGCGGAAGATGGAAGTGGTCATGTTCTTGACTGGTCCAAGAGGGTTTCTATCATCAAGGGCATCGCAAAAGGTTAGCATTTCTGACTACCATTATTCTCTAAGCATTGCATGGTACAGAACATTGTTTTTCCCCATGCAATGTCCTATCTGCAAACGGATTACAACGTGCATTATCATTTATTCAGTTGCAAGCTGAATACCAGAAATTTGTTAAATATAATAATTATTCGTTGGTAGCATGTTTATATAACTTGAACTATAAAATTAGGATTTGATGACCGTATTTTTTTTAATAAAAAAATTAGTCCAGTAAAAATGGTGTTAGGACCAAAATTTCGAAAGTCTAAAGGACAAAAGAAACTTTGGTCGATTTGATTACCTGATTTCAGAACAGTTTTTTGTTTTTAAAAATAAAAATAAAATTTAAAACTTGTTTGAAAATGTTTTTTCTGTTTCTTTTTTCTTTTAAAGTTAAAAGTTGTTCTGAAAAAACTAAAAATCTAAATTTTTTGTAATGATATTTTGTTACTTTTTGTCTTGCAAAACTAGAGAAAAGATAGAAAGCATTATATTTTTATTAATGACAATTATATTAATAAAATAAATAATTCTTTCACCTTTCATTTCACCGCTTTAGATATGGTTTTCGAAAGAATGATTCAAACAAGTTTTTTAATTTTTTGTTTCAAAACTTGTTCTAAAAATTTACTTTACATAATTGTTTCAAAAACATAATTAATAGAATACAGAATTAAATAAGCCCTTTGTTCATAGAGTTTTGACACCATGTTATACACGTGGGCTTAAGGCCATACTTTTGTCTAAAATCTAAAGATATTAAATCCATTCACTTCTAACGTGAAGCTTACTTTAATCATATTGAATATCAACGTAAGATCTTCCTTTTTTTAATAATTTAACAAGTCAATGTAACCAATGCTTTTATAGTGGAGTGGATCTTTACGATATAAAAAGTGATGAATTTCAAAGGTAATGATTGCATCACATGTTTTTTACTTTATCTTCGGCTGAAAATCTATCCATGGAAAAAAAAAAAAGAAATGCAGTCCGCCTCATAGATACATTTTCTTTATAAACTTGTATCTAATTCTGCATCAGATTCCACTTTAGATGATGTCTATGCCATGACTCTGTTTGATTTTGCTTATTCCCTTTCGATCAGGTATTGGATATCTACACAGTAATGAAACAAACAATCCCACAATAATACACCAAAATATATCAGTTGAAAAGGTTGTCCTTGACCTTCAATTCAACCCCTTGATCATGGATGCTGGCCTCCCAAAGCTTCTTGCAGACGATGCTGTTTTCTCAGCTCTGAAAGTAAGTGCAGCCATGGGATACCTAGCTCCTGAGTACATTACCACTGGGAGATTCACTGAGAAAAGTGACATATATGCATTTGGGGTTATAATTCTTCAAGTAGTTTCTGGGAAAACTGTTGTGGGTAGTTCAATCAGGATGGCTGTTGAGTCTTTCAGATTTGAAGATTTTGTTGACACGAATCTCAAGGGACGATTTACTAAATCTGAAGCAGCAATGCTTGCCAGGTTGGCAGTGATGTGTACTCATGAGCTTCCTGATCAGAGGCCAACCATGGTGGAAGTGATTCAGGAGCTGAATGGATTTCCTGCACAACATGCTTCTTGATCCATATATATTGCTTACTAGGGGAAGTAAGAGACGTTGAAACATCTTCCAAATAAATGTAAAGTTAAATGGAATTCCCTTGTTTAATACCCATGGCTTAGCATCTACATCATGAACATTGATTTCAAAAGCAAGCTTCATATAGAAGACCAAGCAGTCATTGCCATCTGATATTCAAAAGCAAGAGCTTCATAAACTTCATAAAGACAAGCATAGTGATTTTTAGTATTAGCAATAATTTCTTTGTAAAATCTACCTTATCTAGTCAGAATTAAAACCATAATTCATGATAATCTAGAGACTAACCATAAAGAGATTACCAAGTTTATAATCTAAGAAAATGATATCCCAAGTTTTTTTAGTTTATAATACTTTGGAAACCATTCATTATCTTCTAATTAGAGTAAAATCATGGTACGGAAGCATGGAATATTTTAGAGGAGTGAAAGAAGTTAAAAACAGTTAAAAAATCTCATGTTGCTAAAAACAGAGTAATGTGTCACGGCTCATGCAATCTACGTCACGGTTTGTCACTCTCTATGCGATGTGTCGCTGTGTGTTGCACGCTCATGACAACAAATTTTGTTATCATTTGATAGCAGAATCCAAACAACTTTCTATGTGCTCTAATTTTTCATTTGATGTTTGAATGAGATGGTTTAGGTGTCTAAGCAAAGCTTTTTTCAAAACTAGTTGATGGCATGGTTTCACTTCCAAAACAAGTAACACCAAGAAGTTGGATATCTAAACATATTTTCACTACTTTTCTCAACTTTCACAATAAAGAGGGTGTCCAAAACTCTAAACAAGTACTAAAAATCATTCCTAACACTAAGACCATATTTATTGGATTTATGATTACTTGTACAACATACCATATGCACATATACACTATCATATCAAAAGTTTACTCCTCAATCCCTTGAATATGGAGGTTTTAGCATTTCATTTCAAAATAACATTCACCATTGTAATCAAATGAATATTTATACACTTGTACAAGTATTTTGGCCCTATCAACTTTTACAGTTTATTATAGACAACATCTCAAGGCTTAAAATACAAACTAGACATCACAGATAACTATATGGTGCAAGTGTAAATAAAATACATCTTAAATTGACAATATTAAGTATATTAAATAAAATAAATAAATCCTAGAGGCATTATACTAGAAATACCAAGATTCCTAAGCTTTTGGAGCTTTTTCCTTCTCTATACTAGAGCTAGAGCCTATAAAATGTTAAAGAAGAGGGGTGAGTTTAGCCACTCAGTAACTAAAGTAAGCCTACCTTATACAATTGTATATCAATTGAATAAACACATGAGTTTGAAATAGATTTTCTCAAAGCATGCACTAATACATGAATCACAATTTATCATTTCTCAATTAACTCATTTCCATTTCAAGCATGAGGTACATTGTCACAAGACATACAAACATGTGATGATGACCCGATATATTAAGGTGACTTGCTATAATTTAATCACGTGACATGTCATATAAATGCATATAGATAATCATATCATCCTTATACCCTCCTTATTTTTTCTGACTAAAATCGTGGGCTATAATACTGAATAGGGCTTCGATGTGTGACTCAACTACCCAATCTCACTAATTGTGAGATTTGACCTTGCCAAAAATTACATGACTCACTTTCAGACCACGGTTTTCCCTACTCTCGAATGTCTAGGGTGTCACATACTTTATACTAACCTTCTTGATAAACTGGTAGAAATAGCAAGGTTTTAGTCTCTCGATAAACTATGAGACAGTTTCTTGACAAATTATAGGTTAAGGCTATACCTTCGTGCATCAAAAAGTAGCTGAAAATAATATATGAATTTTAACTACTCCCTTCCTAGGCGAACTCCCACAAACTAATCATGCAATGTACTATGCCACTCATTTTACACTTTCATTTATTCATTTTTGACATCAACACATTGAGTTCACAACCATGCGCTACCCAAGTGAGCATTAATCATTATTTTCACATTTATCCCAATTATCTATCATTTTCAATCTCAACATGATTAACTCCATTTCATTATAGTAAACCATAAATCAAATATATCACACCAATTATCAACCACTCATTTCTATACCACATTGTAGTATGAAATTCATTTCAAAATTCACCCTTGCATATTTAGTTCAAAACAAGTAAATATAATATATCATGATTTCATGTATGTGTACCCATTCACAATTACAATCATACATGCCCAAATACATATTTCACATTGTAAAGTAATTAATAAACAACTACTTAAGATAAGGTTCCCCATTTACCTCAAACTTTTAATAGGTCAAAGATTTATCCCTCAACATATGCTTTCAAACTTGATTCCCAAGCCAAAATGGTGCCCAAATAATCAATCCATAATTAATCAATTCTAAATTTCATCAACAATGTTAAACACCTAAGATATCAAAACACACTATTTTTTGGATATTAATGAGGCTTACTAATCAAAGATATCAAAACTCACTATTTCTAGGTTTAAATACTCTAATCAACTCCCATTAACTTTATTTGAGTGAATGGATTTGGATCCATACCTTATGTGAACTGAAAATCATCTCCCATTATCAAATTCTAACAAAAACCTTCAAGAAATTAGAAGAGAATGGAAAATTAGAGTGTAGGATACTTGCTTACTCAAAACCATTCTAATGTCATGCCCTAGCAAAATCTTTTTCGTTCTTTTTGTTTCTCTCTCAATCCCTCTTTCTTTCTTCTATTTTTTCGCATTAGAATTCCGACTTAATTCTACATAAAAAGGCTATGCATTAGGCGCACACATCATTAGGGCTGTGCAAAAGTCTTGTAGTCTGGTCTAACCCGGTCCGACCCGTGAAAACCCGGTCCAGTCCAGTCCTATAAAATGTTGGTCCTATAGGTCTAAAAAGACCAAAAAAACAGGACTTATTTTTCGGGTAAGACCAGACTAGAGACCAAGCATTGGACTAAGTGGTCCTGTCTGGTCCTATATAATTATTTTAATATAATTAAAAATAATTTATAAATTATTAATTACTTCAGGCTTCAGTACGCGTAGCTACTCGAGTCTCAATCCACAAAACTCATTCTCAGTTTCTCCACTCTCCAGTGCACCGAACCCTAGCCCCTGCCTCCTTCTGTACGCCACCTTCGACCACGTCAATCACGTCAGCAGCCCTTGCTCTTCCCTCTTCATTCTCGCTCGAGCCTTAATCTCTGATTCATTGCTCTTCCCTCTTCATTCTCGCTCGAGCCATTCTCCTGCAATCCTACCCACCGCTGCTCTGCTTCAATCAGGTCGGTCCGTCTATTATCGGCATCGCCTCTCGCATCTAATTCACCGTTGAGCACGCCACACCACCGCCCTACCCCTGCTCTCGCATCTAAGCTCTGATTCAAAGGCACAGATTTCTTTCCCTCAAATTAAATCGTACTTACCTGCTTCAGCTTCAGCTGCTCCGCTAAGTTTTCCACCAATCCCTGGACGACAAGCGAAGAGGTTACCGTGAGCGGATCATTGCGCCACTGGTATATTTCTGTACTTCCCTTACATACTTTCAATTTGATACTTCCCTTATATACACTGGATCATTGCGCCATTGATATATTGCTGTACCTCCCTTATATTTCTCTCTGTTTTGTTATCCAATCTGATACTTTCGGGAGAAAGTTGTTTTAACTGAGTTCTATGGTGCTTAATTTTGATGAGAAATAGCATAGGCATGGGTAGCAAGCATGCGTGGAGCAGCGGGATTAGCATGTATTTTGTTTTTTTTTGTTTAAAATCATTATATTTGATAGAAATCAACTAATGACTACTAAGCCTTGTATAATGAGTATAATTGAAATCCAAGGCAGGCTATTCGAATGCATTAGAAATTTCTTCATATTTATAACTTGAATATTTACTGCAGTTTGGATAGGCACTAAGATACTTCTTATTTGTATTAGTGATGTTTATGCTCAGTTACCTAGAAATAAAAATCAATTATTATCATTTTTAGACAGTCTTGTTGTGCCTTTGCAACGTGCTTATCAAATTCATTTATGTGTTTAATATGGATTAAAATTTGGATTGACTTGCCTTAGAAGTTGTTTAATATGGATTAAAATTTATTACATAGGTTTGGATTGACTTGCCTTAGAAGTTGTTTAAAGTTTTTTCCCCATGTCTGTGTTGCTCTATTAGAAGGACATTCCTGTGGGATGATTTTTATTAGTAATCACCTTATCAATTATGTGCTTTCATTTTCTGGCTTTTGTGTTCCCTGCCATGATTTTGTGTTATTATAACTTGTCTATTTTGCTTCCTTTTTACCATTTTGCTGTTATAACTTGTCAATTATATTTTATCATTGTGAAGTGATGGATATTGAGCAAACATCTAGTATTGACCAACCTCAATCGTCTCCTTTCACTGGTGAAAATGTGAGTTCAACTCCTTCTGAACCATCTTTGACACCTACTCCTCCACCTCAACCCCCAACTACTATGAAATGTCCTCCTCCTCTTACAACTGTAACTGAAAGTAAAGCTACAGAAGGTAGTAGAAAGAGAAAAAATTCTACAAGAAAGGTGTCAAAAGTGTGGGAACACTTTACTAAGTTACCATTGGAGGAGACAACTGGAGAAGTTAGAGCTGCATGCAAGTACTGTAATTTAGATTATGCTTGTGACCCAGGCAAGCATGGTTTAACATCCTTAAAGAGGCATGTACCAAAGTGTTCCAAGAATCCACATAAAGCTACACAAATGACGAAGCAATCGATATTGAATTATGTGACACCAAGTGGGCAAGAGGGAAGCTTAGTACCTCACATGTTCAATCAGAAACGATGTCGCAGGGCTCTAGTTGAGTTCATCATATGTGATGAGATGCCATTTAGGCTTGTTGAGAAGGAAGGCTTTAAAAAGTTTGTGAAGGAGTTAGAACCACGATTTTAAATCCCTTCAAGAACAACAGTGGCTAGAGATGCCTGGCAATTGTATCTTGGTGAAATTAGAATCTTGAAAAATTTGTTAAAGAAGTGTACTAATCGTCTTTGCCTCACTACAGATTGTTGGACATCAGTTCAAAACTTCAATTACTTATGTTTGACAGCCTATTTCATTGATAATGATTGGAACTTGCATAAGAGGGTTCTTAGTTTTTGCATGGTTGAGAATCACAAAGGTGATACGATAGGCAAGACAATTGAAAGGTGCTTATCAGATTGGGGCATACAAAATGTGTTCACTATAACTATGGATAATGCAACTTCCAATGACATAGCCTTGTCTTACTTAAAAAGGCATTTAAAGAATTGGAGGGGTCTTGTTTGTGGTGGTGATTATCTTCAACTACGGTGTTCTGCACATATTCTTAATCTAGTTGTTAATGACGAGTTGAAGGAGTTGAAAGATACTTTTGAGTCCATTCGAAATGCTATTAGATATGTTCGTTCCTCTCTTGCTCGCTTGCAAAGATTTAAAGATGTTTGTGAATTAGAAATGTTGGACACAAAAAGTATTGTTTGCCTTGATGTCAGTACTAGATGGAATTCTACATATTTAATGTTGGATGTGGCTTTGAAGTTTCAAAAGGCATTTGAAAGATTAGAGGATGAAGATGAAGATTTTGTTAGTTACTTCAACAAAGGTTCAAAGCGTCATGCTCAAATTGACTTTTCTTGTTTAAAGGGTAGCATAGATGCCTATGTTTATAGGCAAGATGCTAGACCCGATGACAACATGGATGCTTTTGCTTACTCTAGGCAAGCTCCTCCTAAGCGTAATGGCCCTCCAAACAAACAAGCTTGGAATAAAGCACGGTTCTTTCTTAAGTTCTTGAAGGTGTTTTATGATGTCACTTTACAATTTTCTAGCACACTGAAAGTTACTGCACATACATGCTTCCATCAAATTGCTTTAATTCAAGAGTTGTTAGATGAGAATGTTGAAAGTGATGACCCTCTTCTTAGGGAAATGTCTTTGAGCATGAAGAGAAAGTATGATAAGTATTGGGGGGCAGCAGATAATTTGAACCCTTTGTTGATTATTGCTGTGATTCTCGATCCTCGATACAAGCTTGCCTATATCAATCATGTATTTGATCAGCGTTTTCCTGCCCCTGACCTTTGCATGTCCATAAAGAACAAGGCAAGAGACACTTTGTATCGCCTATTTGAGGAATACTCTGCAACAATTGGTCCTGATACAAGCAGTTCTGGTAGTATCAACTCTCCAAGTGCTCTTGACACCAACACTTCAAATGCAAGTAAAGGTAAAAAAGACCCTGGTCGTAGATGGTTAGCATCCCAGAAGCAAAAAAGCTCATCAGTTGATACCCAATCAGAGTTGGATGATACCTTTCTGCTAGTACATCTGAGGACACCCCTATTGATGATGATGATGATGATTTTGATATCTTGACATGGTGGAAGGTTAATTCTACCAAGTATAGAGTGCTTTCCTTGATAGCACGAGATGTATTGGCTGTACCAGTATCTACAGTTGCTTCTGAATCAGTTTTTAGCACTGGAGGACGTGTTATTGATGATTATAGGAGTTCTTTATCTCCTAAGATGACTGAAGCACTCATTTGTGCCCAGAATTGGCTAGTTGCAGGGCAATCTCTCTCAGAGTTTGTCTCTATGTTTCATGAGGTTGATAATTTTCAAGAGACTGATGATGTGGTTAATGTTGTAGGTAATATATTCAATTTTATATCTCTTAATTTAATGTATATATTGCATTTTTACACTTACTAATCACTTTATATATGTGTATATGATTTTTTTTATAGATGCTTCAAGTGTTATTGACACTAAAGTGATAATTATTTGAAGATTTGTTAAGTTTGTTTCTGTTGAAGCTAAGGAGATAATTACATGACAAATGTAATGTAGTGTTAAACTTTATTGAGTGTTTTTGTTGAAGTTATATATCTAAATCATTTGGAGTTTGGACTGTAACTGAAATATTATTTTCTTGATGTTAGAAATCATTATGAATTATGAATTTATTATGATTATAAGTGTTTTTATTATCTTAATTGAATTTATTAGGTTGAAATGGATTATTGCTTATCATAGAGAAAAAAAAGAAAAAAAAAAGTCAAGTGAGTATTGGACTAACAGGATCAGTCTCCCAGTCTTATGGACTAAGTCCGGTCCTGTTAATCTCCAGGTTTTCACAGGACCAGACTGGACTACGAGTTGCCTAACCTAGTCCTTTTCATGAAAAGGACCAGACTTTGGGTTAGGCTGAAGTCTAGTCCCGTCCAGTCCTTTGTGCAGCCCTACGCATCATGTGTCGTGGCACATGGCACAGAAGATTCTCCTGCTTCAATGGTCATCTATGCACTGCAACGAATGTGTTGCATATCGTGACATGTAACACAGAGACATCCCTTTATATTTTTTTCTCCTTTCGATACTTGGGTGGCTCGTCTTCACTTCAAACCCAAAACTAAAGCTGAAAATACAACGGAATACTATTATTAGATTTCCCTGGCCACACACCACATCAAAAACACCCAATTACTATAATTAAATTTGATTAATTCTGTAGTAATCTAAGAATTAAAATCTAGAATATTACATTCTCCCTCTCCAGCTATTTTTGCTTTTTTTTACCAAAAAAAAAATCCAACCACATAATATTTAGAAGCCACATTTGATCTTCGACTAATTTGAGTTGAGCTAGACAGAACCGCAAAGGAGGCAAAACCCTCCCAATGAGTATTTAATGCATTTCATACCCAAAAACTTAAATTTGTGACCACTAGTTGTGTTACGCCTTTGCTAGTAACAATAATCTATGTATCGTCAAATATCAAGCAAGGTTTTATTCTTCGCAAATATCTGAAACTGCAATTTCTCTCTATAATCCACAATAAGCAAGGTAGATGATGATAAGCTTCTAAATTGATGCTAATTGATGCTGCCTCATACATTTTCTCGTTAGTTCTAATATGAGCATCATGAACACCATGCTTTTTTAATATTTTCCAAAGCACATCTCTCAGGACATCATGATAAGCTTTTTAATTTTCAAATCAATAAAAATCATATATAAGTTTTTCCCCTTATCCTAATACTTCTTCATCAACCCTCTTAACAGATAAATAGATTTCGTTGTAGATCCTCTTTGCATAAATCCAAATTGATTTCTAAGGTACTTGTCTCATTTTTTAATATACATGTTCTGAATATCTCTTTTTTATTCTTGTATGTGGGTAACATAGTTCTCCCCACTCATTTGACTTTTTCTTTGACCGTAACATCCCATTAAAAAGCCTAATAAGCATAGAATACCCTTCCATCCTAAGCATTTCCTTATTTTTTTTACTGTCTGAAAAATTCTCATATACAACCTTTTTTTTTCTCAAATCAATTTATTTTTAGTGTAAAATTTTCTTATCCAGTAATTTAGATCACACCCAAAAAGACGTAGCTTAGTTAATAATAAAGAAATATGTTATATTTATTAATTGATTCATTTATCCCTTTGCATCAAACTATGATAGTATGATCTATCATTCAAAAGTCATGAATCTATTAATCAAAGTCATTAAGTTGAATAGAATTGCGAGAGCTGTTAGACTTGAATTCAAAATTAAACCATAGACCACTAATGTTAGATCTAACAGAAGGGGCTAATCCTTCTCACAGCTTAATGAATCAACGTTCAAATTTTCACCAAAAGAGATGTCTCTATTTAATGTTTGACAATATCTCAAACATGATTATTTCTAATAAAAAAATACTTGTAAAAAACAAAAAAAAAAATTAAACCATCGGTTAAGCCATTACAGTTTGAAAATAAATCACAAGGTGGTGATGAAACAAATTTGATTAAATTTCAGGCGTGAGTATTATCTTCATATAAGAGATTTAAATCCTCTGAAATTAAGATCTGTAAATTTATATAAAGTTTACCTTTCTAAGAAAAAATGGGATATTTTGACAAAAAAAACTAAAAATAGAATTATTCTGGGCCTTGTTCTTTTTTTTTTCTTTTTCCTTTTTTTCGACAATGTAGGACTTGTTCTTCTTATCCTGGTTTCTAGATCAACGCCAGGATTAGCGGAGGGCCTATAAACAGAAGAAAAGTGAGACATTAGTGAAGAGTCATCTGTCGCATATTTCTTGTTTTCTTGTAGATTTTTCAATGGGTTTACAGATACTTTAGGTATAATAAGATATGGTTACCGCAATATTAGCAGAAAACTCCAAACCAAACTCTTAATCAATTTTCTAATATAACTAACCAAAAAAAGATGGATTCGCTCAAGTCAGGAGACCGACATTGTTTTCTAGTTAAGGTTGCTTCATCTGGTAGTTTTCCGTCCTTCCAGATCCAAAGTAAATGAATTCATTTTTTGCTAAGTCGGTTAAGTTATTAATTAATAATTACTGTGTTAAATATTCTTCTTATTTAAGATATCAAATTTTATGTTATTTAAAATTTTTATCACATTTTAAAACATTTATAATATATTATATTTGTATAACAAACATTACAAAACATCATAAATCATGTTATTTTTTATAATTATTCATTTAAAAACACATTTCACCCTATATACTCTGGAGAAATATTTAGGTAGACCAAATGTACGACATTATTTATGATTTATTTAATAAAAATATGATATTTAAATGGTATTAAATATAAATTAATTCAGATATTAATAATAGTAAAGAGAGAACAGGCAATAAATCAAATATGTATTTTGTTATAAAAATAAAATTAATTTAAAAAATGTCACACAAGGTTTTTATCCAGATTATTTAGAGTATTTTAATTAGACAAATTACAAATAACATGATACACCCAATTTACCTAAGTATTTCTCTATATTCTGAAGAACTTTTAGTTTACTAAACTAACTCTTAAAAAATATATCTAAACACAAATTTTGTCATAATAATTGACTTTTATTAAATTAATTTTTGTCAAATGAAGTTTATACTGATTTTTAGTCAATAAAAACCAAACACGCGCACTAAATTAGTAGCCAATTTTCATTATATTTTGTAAGTACCATTAGTGAACAAAAATTTGAGCAATGTAAATTTCTCACAATGTTAATTAATTAATCATAAAGTTAAAGAATAAAAATTTAAGAATTACTCCTTCCGTCCCAAGTTATTAAACAATTTAAAATAAAATTACACTCATCAATAAAACTCAGTAATCACACTTTACAAGATTATTTTTCATAACAATAATATAAACTTTAAAAAATTTCATTAATTTAATATAACTTTTAAATCTACATACTTAATCATTACACTATAATTATTTTAATTTTTTCTTTATCTAAAGGGTAATATTAAAAAATATTATTAACAAAATTTTATTTTTATTAAATTATCTTATATTTTAGAATAACAATTTTTTTGAAATTATTTTATAATTTAAAATGAGGGTATATTTTTCATGTTTAAAATTCTTTAGGAATGAAGGCGATGACGTGTAGAATTTGGTGTTTTAGTTGAGAACCATTGTTGTATATACGTTGGCATGACTAAGATATAAGACAAAGACACGCAAACTAATCCAAGAAGACAAGACATGCGCATGTTAGCTCTTAGGATAAGAAGACCTAACTCTCACATATGTTCAAACCGTTGACTGTTTTAAAGTGACGTGGCGTTTTAACTGTCATGCGTATACATACAGACAAACACTCACACCGCCGAACATTTATTATACAACTACAACATTTGTCGTTGGCGGCTTATTTTGTCTAGAGTATCGCTTTACTTACATATCATCACGTTTAATTTAAGTTTTCATTTTAATAATTGACGTACACTTTAGACTCTCTTAATTATAGATGTTAACTCTATCAGTTCAGAGTAATAAAATAATTTCATAACATTGAAAATTATATAAAATATTTTTTTTCCATATTTACTTTTATTTAATAAGATATTTTGGTTAAAAATATTATTAATTACTCGGTTTCACCCTCTAATTAAGCGTATTTCTAAAAAAAATTATTGAATATATTTTAAAAGATTTAAAATGTCTTATATTTTTTAATATAATATTTAAAAAAAGTGTGTTTTATAATAGGAAGTACTTCTAAGTAAAAAAAATAAAAGTAGTTTATATTTTAAAATTATGATTATTTTTAAACATTACTCTCAATTAAATTCTAACATCACATTTTTTTTTTTAAAAGAGAAAGTCAACAAAACGATTTCTAATGCAGAAGTATAGAGCATTTGTGAGGAAAAAAAATATTTTCACATATTGTAAGGTCACTTATATTTAAGACCATAAATTTTTTGTAAAAAAAAATGTGATTGCTAGTAGATATTTTTGTCTTATCTTCTAATTAATTAGGAGTTAGAGTTGGAACATATATCATAAAATAAATGATAAATGGGAAAATGACATATAAATGCCTTTGAAATAGGAAAATGGCAGTTTGGTCCTATAAAATGTGATAATGACAATGAGATCTCAAGAGACTTCTTTGAGATTAAATTTTTATGTGAAATTACTTTAATATCTTTTTGTAATTTAAAAAGTTGTGATTTTTTAAATCATTTCAGTCATTAGTAAAACCAAATTTGTGAATATTCATACCAAACTTGTAAATATATATGATATAAAATTTGTAGGACTTTACTAATAGAAAATTTTTATCTTGTAAATTTTTTTTATTCATTAATGGAATCAAACTTACAAATACTTTTATCAAACTTGTGAACCATATATATTAGTTGCAAATATGTATCTAATTTCACATAAAAATTTAATCTCAAAAAAATTTCTTGGAGCCTCATTGTCATTATCACATTTTACATAATCAAATTATTATTTTCTTATTTCAGAATTTTTTTTCTGTCATTCTCTCTTAATAAAGCTTTGTATAATAATAATAATAATAGTAATAATAATCACTAACAAAAAAACACCTGTTTTGCGATGGATTTTTCCCTAATTTTGAGATGGAATTTCCGTCACAAACAATGCTTATGACAGAATTTGTGGCAGCTAACTTTCCGTCAATATTTTGCTGATCAAAAATTTTTTGCGACGGAATTCTAAAATCTGTTGCAAGTTGGGATGCACTTTTTGGGACGAAATATCTATCCCAAATTCGGGACGAATTTTGTTGTCGCAAAAAGCATCACAAATTTTTTCATTTCAAAAAATTATGAAGGAATTTCCGTCCCAAATTTGTCACAAATTTTGCAAAAAGACATTAGCCTCTCAAATCCGTTGTAAATATGTCTCCAATGATATAATTCATTATTCAATTATTTTATATAATTTTAATTATTATTTTTGTAATATTTTAAAACTATAATTTCTACTATTACTTGCAATCTGTAATAATAATAATAATAATAATAATAATCAA